TAACAAAAATTGAAGACTCTCGCTCAATGAAGCCCAATAGGGAAGTACTCATTGTTGAAGTTTTTTTCCATCTCGCTCTGGCTCCAATTTACTTTCATTTTGATTTAGTGCTCTCTGGGATCTTTTTTTTTTTGCCAGAAATTATAGAATTACTTATTTAGATTTCCCAATAAAAGCAAATGCTCACTTGGAACAAGGGTTTTTTATGATGCTGTTTATCACATATATAGATACATTTTCACCCTTGTTATAATCAATCAATCGTTATAATCACTTTGTTGTTCAGCGCAGCTGAATGGATCCATGTCCTAAACTACTGTACACCTTGACCAGAGATTAAGTTAGCCATCCATCCAAAAAATAAAATCAGCAAGTAAAACAGTGGGAATGTTGTGGCGGTGTTCAGAATGACGCTGTTAAGGTGGTTGAACATAGATCTGAATTCCCAAGAAAAAAAAACTTTTCGTGAGTAAAAAATACTAATCAAAAACATGGTTGAAAGCTGTGAAAAGCCGATTTTGTACGGTATGAGCCCTTTAACAAGCACAGGATTCTGACCAGTCTCCAGCGCAATCTCTAACTAGACTCTCCAGTTGTGTTGAACAAAACATACTCCTGCAGCATGGGATCCAACCACAAATCCCATTGTTTGTGTCTCATTCACATTCATCCCGTGCGCTGTGCTGATTTCTGCTGCCTCTCTGCATCTCAAACTCCTCTCAGCTACAGCCTGCTTCCTGTCCGCCTCCCACCAGCGAATACAGCCCATCGATACACTGCTCCCCTTTGACCCCGCAATCTGACAGCATGTCTGCTAAACACTTCACTCAGTCAGTCAGTTTCTCCCTCTCTCTATTTCTCGTCTCTCCACCTGCTCGTGCTGCTGTGGCCTTGTTGGAGTCCAAGGAATTCCCAGTCCACTGCAGCGTATCCGCCTGGAAACGCTGCAGATGCCAGTCCACACTTGGATGGTAAGTAGCACAACAACTTGAAAAGAAAAAGAAAAAGGAAAACAAGGGAAAGTGATAGGATGAAGATGTCAGTTATGGCAAATAGCACTCTGTCACACAGTCCTAAAACATCTCTGTCACTGGTTATCAGACCGAGGAAACACACACAAAAGAAGTGAGAATGAGTGGTGGGACAAATGTGCGCTCAGGCTGGAGTCTGTAGTGAGCTTCCTGGTTCAAAGAGTCCGGTCAGGGAGTGTATAAACCGGATTTGACTGAAACACTAAACTACATTTGTTTATAAGACAGAAAACAAAGTGAAAATATACACAAACATGTGTAGCAAGGTGGTCGCAGTTTGATTCATGTGTAGAGGGGTTTCTTCCAGAACTCCGGTTTTCTCCAAAACATGCATCTTATGTAAATTCTTCCTACATATTGACCAAGCCGAGCATCAACATCTGGAGATAGCACTACACTGTACTGACCACCTTGGTTGTTCAAGTGGCATTGGAAGAAAAGGTACATATCCATTTCCCTACAAGGACAATGAAGTATACAAAAACCTTAACCTAAACTTGTGACTTACCGTTTCTTTATTGTTGTATATATTCTGTAACAAGACCTCTCTTATCAAGGTGACAAACAACATCTTGCTGATCACTGATGCAGGCAGCTGGTGCTGTCCTTAGTTGGTTTAAGTGTTATCTATCAAACAGAAAATTCTTCCGATTGGAATCTGTGATACAGATCAGATGGAACTGACCTGTGCAGTGCCACAGGGGTCAACCTTAAGACCTCTTCTGTTCAATCTCTGCATGCTGCCTAGCAGCACACAATCCATAGCCAAATACAGGCAACAGAGCCTTTTAATGGGCTCACATAGACTCACTTCTCCACTGACCACAACACAGTGTGTGGTCAGTCTGCATGCTCTCCACAACTAGTGAAGTCTACTTCCAAATTGGAAATCTAAACACCAAGACATATTAGGTTATTTAGGACTATTTGCTTAACATGCACTTTAACCTGTTCATAAACAAAACATCTAATTTGATTTTAACCACCACCTGTTTCGAAAATACTATCGTCAAGCACATGCAGCTCCAGAATATGGATCCAACTGAAGTGGACACTGGTCCACTTTACATCTGAAGTTTCTGGTTGCTTCAGTTAATGCACGTGTATTGACAGTTCAGGGATTTTTATTCTGATCCTTGAGAACATTAAGTGTGAATACACTTTGACACACACATCAAGAATGGCAAATATGTCATATGTCAACAGGCATAAACTTGTAATAATGCATTAGTAATAGAATCATTTTGCTTGTGTCACCAAATATTTGGTCATTGTTCTTTCTAACAAGATTTGGAGATTTGGAAGAGTTTGCTACTTGCCTGGTCAGTGATGATTGCTTTATTGCTTTATTTACTAATATGTTAGTAAACTGGGACAATATCGAAATATGTTGAAATGGATAAATTCTCATATCTCAAGTGTATAGTTACCCATAAAAACAGATATAGTTTAATGCCATACTGTGGTACATTCCAACCCCTCGCTTGTTGGACTGGTTCACTTTAACTGACTGGACCAACTCGTGTCCACTAGTCAGTCACTTAATTCAGTTCACGTATTTTGAAAAGGATCTGTGAAATATTTTTTCCCTAAGTGAACCAGACATGGTCCAGTTAAAGTGAACCAGACCAGTAAGTGTGAACATTAGATGGACCCAGGAAAGCAGCAGTCCCTTCACAAAGAAAACAAAGTACAACTTTAAACTTGTTCATGGATTGCACATTTGTTGGACAATAATTGAGTCTGGAGTGGGTGTTGTTTTCCCAGTGTCCTCTGGGGCAGTACAGGGGACTGCGGTGTGAAAGGTCAAGGGGAGGACAAGGTGACTGATTGAGCTGAGGCATTAGGTCATCGCAGAGAAACTGAATCAAACCGGCTCTGAGCTCCCTCTCTGCTCGGCTAACCACCATCAAATACATCAGAGCGCTCTGTCAACACATGTGTCCAGCTGGGCCCAAAACGACTACCACATGTGCAAGCATCCCGCCCCACATCCACTCACGCTCGGCCTTATCAGCACGCAGCTCACAGCCCCACGTCCACAAAAGCGCACTTTCATAGGAATAATGGATGCATGAAATCAATGTGCGGGTTTCAAAAGGTCATCATGTGCAAAAAGCAATGGATCCTTGGGCAACAAGAGGAAACGCATATCATCTCTCAGGGCTTCCAGCATCCAACAAGAGAGCACTAATTGAAAACGGCTGAATTGGAGTTTGAAATTCCAAACGTGTGCACCAGGATAATTAATGTGCGGCAATCATCACCAGTCGCTATTGGGATGAAAACTAATCTACGCCAATCGGCCCGTTTCAAAGGAAAAATGTATTACAAAGTACGCGCCGCTTTTCAGTATTCTCTCCAACATTCATGCACACTACTTTCAATACAGGATTCAATTATGCAGAACACCTGAACAAACAATATCTCACAGCCAATTATTCGGCGCTGTGGAAACCATCGGCAAACAAATTAGCAATGTTAATGCGGAGAGAAGTCTTGATATTTTTGTCGGCGCGTGCTTACAAAGGCATGGGATCTGGGGCTATTGTTGACTGTGAATTAAACAGGCCAGAGTTGATTTGAAAGGAGAGATTTCAAGAGCACTCTCCCATTCAGCAGCCCCACACTTCATCAGGAAGATATTTTACATTATTAGGGCAACTAATTTGCTCAAATAGGTTTACCACAGAATGGACTTAAGTTTGGCGAAATACATTTAGATGATTTGTTTAATTTATAAAGAATTACCCTTGCGTAAAGACGCTGTAACCTTTTGTGGCAGAGACACTACTTCCACATGCTGTATGCGAGTGCAATAACAATAATTATAAAAACATGTCGAAAGGAAAATAGGAAGAAAATAAATAATTTGTCTTATTTATTAATTGTAAAAGGGAAATTTCTGGGCACAAAAAGTTTTACAAATAATTCAATGAAGTGCTTTGGAAACACTTTAATTTGACTTTCTTAAATGATAGGCTACTTAAGATGACAGACTACTGAGCCTGTGTTATTTTACGGTAACAGTTCTAAAAACTCTGGCCATACCCACCTTTGCACTTCATTCATTTCAGAAGCTCATAAAAATGACGGCTCTGAAGCGCCATATTTCAACATCACTTTGAGCATTGCTATTGGGCTTGACATTTGGGCTCGCAGACAGAACAATGAAAAGCTACCAGGAGATATCTTGGCAAGGCTATTGCCCAGTGTATTGATTGGGCAAAAGGCCCAACATCCCCTCACTAAAAAGAGATTAAAATATCAGACTTGTCTAAGACATTTATGGAGTGTGTGACCTCAGCCAATGCTAAAGTGGAGTACATACATCATAGTCCATCTGTGTGAGCGGAGAAGCAGAGACTTAACTAAACCTGAGCCATGTGTCATCACCACACCACACACATGTTCTAGTCAAGTGTGCAGTGAGTGACAGAGAATAAACAGAAGAGATTATGTCACTATTGCAACAACACATCATCTGTAAAACTATCCTGTCTCATGACAAGCAGAGTTTGTGAGTGCACTTTACTTGCTGTATAGCTGCTTTACTATGGGTTAAAGTTGAGGGTATCTAATCTAATACTGTGAACATTTACGGGAAAATTATCCAAATCAATTAATATTTTATAATGTTCAAAAACATTCACATCTGTGGGCAAAATAGTTTGTCAAAGCCTGATCTTGTCAAGTCTAATAAGTAGCTGGCTGGGAGACAGCTGGGAATACCAAGTGTAACAGTGGGATGTAGTGCCTTCACACACACTGCTTAGTATTACTTATTGATTGATTGATCGATTAATAATTGTGTGCACACAGATCGGATAAGTAATGTCTTGTCAAGTGTCAAATATTTTCAAAGGAATTACTTGTGGAAATGCTTATATGTTGGACTCTATCATGAATTACTACAGTGTTATAGATTTTGTTAGTTATGAGGGGCTGGTTGTCTTTTCTCTCAAATGGATGGAGATGGATTCAGTGGGTGAGTGTGGAGACAAAAGCCTCTGTGCTGTGTCCATTCACAGCTCCAGAGGACCTTCATTACAGAGCGAGCAGGTCCTGTCAGCGTCTTTTCATTTCATGCTCCCATATCCCATGCTGGTGTCCAAACGGCCCGCTTCGTCGCCTGTCAGACAGAAGGCACTCTTGGGGGTGGAGGAGTCCTCGTATCTCCACTCTTCTTGGGCGTCGAGGCGGGAGAGGCCAGGCAGAAAAAAACAGGGGAAGAATCGTGTTTGCCATCAACAGCTCAAGAGAGTAGCATGGCAGCAAGATTGATGACACCCTCCCCGAAAGTAACAAAAGAACTCCTGTGCACGAGGGCCCGCTTATGGGGCTTGATAGAGTTGTCATCCTCTTAATAAACAGCTCAGATATGTCAGTGGCCAGGACCACCCACTGGCACCAGCTCTCTCTGCAGGAGGCCCACTGTGGGCGTGAGCTGTGCAATTACAGCCGCACAAGAAGGAAGAGCAAAAACACTGCTCTACGGATTTGTAAACCTCGAAGTGCAGCAGGCTAATTTAAGTTGCATTAGTCAAAAATGACCAACTTCAGACTTCAAGCCCACCACAAGAATGACGTTTCTGAAAGAGAAACTAGAGCAGCTTGGCATGCTGAGAAACTTCAGTAATTTCTTATATAGATTATTTTACTGCAAAATGAACTGAACTGGATAACTATGGGTGGAATACAAATGCAATGAAGGAATAATATCTATTTTTCTCAATATCTGATGATCAGAGCTTTTAGATTTAATAAGAAGCTTATGTCAATGTAACTCTCAAATGTATGGTTAAAATCTCAGTCACTGGCTAAAACACACAATTAGGAGAAGAATTCATGAAGGCAGACAGTACCAACACAACAGCTTAGATTTCAATAAAATAAAGAGAGTTGTGTTTGCACATTGAGAAACTCAAACATCAAAAGCTACAATAAATAAGAATTGTGCTATTCTTTAAAGGTCTTTCTAAATTTAATTGAAAAACATTTCACCTTCATCATTGGTTGTGGGAGTTTTCTTCCACTTTGTCAAGTGCCTTATGAGTCACCAAGTCTATTGACGAACTATAAAGAGAACAAAGGCTTTATGCTGATGCAGCCTTGACTCAACGAGGAAAAGAAAACTTTCAGAATCACAGCTATACTTTTCTATTATGTATCTCACAAGCATTTCCATATCTGTGAATACAATAGGGCGGCACGGTGGCTGAGTGGATAGCACTCTCGCCTCTCAGCAAGAAGGTCCTGGGTTCGAATCCCGGTCGGACCAGGGCCTTTCTGAGTGGAGTTTGCATGTTCTCCCCGTGTCTGCGTAGGTTTCCTCCGGGTACTCCGGTTTCCCCTACCATTAAAAATATGTCCAATAGTTCTGGCATGCGCCTCCTGTACTGGCGACCCCGCTCCCATCTCTGTGTGGAGTGAGAGACAAATGCCCATAATTAACAATTGTAAACCGCTTTGAGACTCAGATCTGCAGTGAAAAGGCGGTATATAAATAAAAACTTACTTACTTACTTACTTACTTACAATAACTGTTTTGTTTTGATGTTTTCAAGGTATTTCAGCATATTTCTGCATACACTTTAATGACAGTCAAGTAAGAATCAAGAAGCAACTGAAAATGTATTTGGTAAATGTTAACAAGACAATTTTTGTTTTACTTTTTGTTACAACCAAATTACATCCCTCTTTGCCAATGATGCATGCGACATTTCTGATTCTTTTCTCACAAGTGAATTTAAAAGGCAGAAAACAAAATCAAGGTGGAAAATTTCATCGGCGCAGACATCTCACATGAGTTTGAGCAAGCCACAATGACAAACACACAAACTCATGCTTAGAAAATGGAGCTAAAAATCATTTCATATAGTCTGCCACTTACAATATTCACTTATTTTTCAGGCAGAACCGCTGTTGTCTCTGTCACGATTCAATCTCCCGCGCGCTCCCCTCTCGCTGTATAATACCTAGTTAAAGCCAGCAGGGTGTGAAATGGTATTTGGAAATAAATGAAACTGACTATGAAACAGTGGAGTTGGGAGATATTGCCGTGTCAAGATGACAGACAAGTCCTGGAATGGAGCAAAAAAGTTATTATCCCAAAGAGGAGCACGGGTGGATTAAATATACCCCTGCGATGGCTCATGCTGCTCTGCCTTCATCCTCTCCCCTCGCCTCTCGCCTCACTCCCCTCTCCCCTCAGCATACGAGGACCACATCTAGGATTCAGCTAAAGTCCCGGATTTAGCACTGGGGCACTGGGGCTGAGCCAGTTCTAGTGAATAGGTTTAGTCCGGTTTACTGGGTTCGGAATAGGTCCCAAAGATTTATAGGTGAAACTTGGATATTGGATTATTAGTTCATACATTCATTTATTTCTGGATCTCAATTTACATGCAAAGTGACATATGCCAAGTCTCTGTTAAAATGTTGATGATTATGGCTTACATTTTTAAAATATATAGGGTGTTTAAGTTGTGTGCCAATTATTCTTTATAAAAAACACACAACTAAGGGTGGCACATGTCACTTTGGGTCCCTCACATATAGTTTCACATTAAAAGTTGAATCACGGACGGAAATAAAAAGTTTGGATGATTGTCTAATTGTCTGAGTTTCACCTGTACTATCTGATTGTGTTGTTTCAGACCAATATTGCGGTACGATTTGTGATATTTAAAAACTGCAATTTTGTTTAGTGTAAAAATAACAAGTTCAATGGTTATATTTGCGATTACCTAATACACAATTCTCTTAAATTCCACAGACCAAACTGTAAATATATATAGACATTTATATCTTTTAAAAAATTCTTATAGTCAGACCTCAGTTGAGCACTTTTTGACGGTTTCATTTTATGGAAATATGGAAAAGAAGAGATAAAAAACAAACAATGCTTCTGCCTGAGACAAAACCTTTTTAGTCCAGTGTCCATTCATTACAATATGAACTATCTGGCTTCCAATACAAATAGAGTACAACAAATAATTTCGGTCACACAAAGCACTGTACAATTTTGCAAGTAGCAGTAGCTAAATATAAATCAAATTTTCCTTGTAAGACGAAAGGTTTTACATAGGCTCTGTTTAATAAATAATCAACTAAATCAAATATTTGTCTAGATAATAATAAAACATGAATTCAAAATTGCTGACTATTGCGGGCCTCGGAGCCCTACTGTAAAACTTAGATTATTTTTAGAAATTTAAGTCAACTTAGTGTTGATTGTTTTGTGCTGTACAAACTTGTCACGTCCAATAAATAAGTGTAAAAGCTTTTCTATCATCCGTAAGTCCTCGTGCTCCCTCCATCCTATCAGTGACTCACAGACCCCTGTTATTGGATGTCCAGTCTGTAATGTCGCTGCACAGGTCCAGTGCCGGTAATATAAACGCTTTGATCACTGATGTTTTGTGTTAAGAGTCTTTCAAAGGCAGACTCCCATAGGCCTGCTCTGCTCTCAGCCTGATTTACAGCTCACACAGGGCACGCTGGTCATTCAAATGGCCACAAGTATGTTCAGCGCCTTGTTAATTTTTAAGGGGAAGTGTGGTTTACGCACTGGTTCAAGTGATATACGGCAGCAGAGGGGAGGCAGGGGTTAGGGATTAAGTGTAAAAAGGTTGACAGGTTGAACACATGAAATTAGTGTTTCAAAGTATTAAAAGGAGAATCTGGACAACAATCAATTTCTATATTAAAACCAACATATCATTAGGAATATCTAGGTGCACTTTTAAGAAAACATGTTAACGTCACGTTTGGAATTGAAGCAAATGCATTACAAGCTGTGGTACTTAAATGTATTTGTTATCTATTTTTATATCTGACTAATCTTATATTTGTCCTAACAGAAACAGTCGAACAAATGAATGACTGAACACATCAAACCACAACATGCTGTTGTTACCTTATTAGGAATCGTTCGTATACTTGAGTGAAAGAGATGTTTGATCTTATGAAGCCGATTGGCTGCTTAAGGGTGATCCTCTACTTTTCAGTCTAAAGATGTTACACAGGCCAGGACAACATGGATTGCATTAGAGCTAGGAACTGGATCAATGGTTTCATAGTTTATTTTTTTGTATGATATGACAATGTGGTACCACAGGTTTATGTTAGAATGTATCTGCAGATTCTGCACCGATCTGATGCATGGGTTAAGGTTAACTGCACAACTGTTCACGTGCCATCACAAGTCATTAGAATGCATTTGTTTTTAATTGTGCTAAACATCAGACGATAATCTTATCAGTGCAGATTTGTTGATGTGGTTTATGGTTCATATATTTGTAATTACTAGAACTATTCAAATGAAACCAAACTGGCACAAAGTGTCAATGTTTTAGCTCTTCCCACAACATTTTAAAAAATTAGTGACATTATTCAAACTTTTTAAAATAAGAAATATAATCCTTATACCAACAGTAATGAGACTTCTTACTTTGTCATTTCATGTTTTAGAATGTTAAATAATATCACAGAAATCTATGTGGCGACAGGTGCCTCAACTATGAAAAATGCTATCTACATGTAACTCCCTATGCTGATTTTTTTTCTACATTAGAAAGCATCTCATTTCACTTAAATGAAATAAATAAATGTAAATACTAAAACGAATGTATAGACACTACTTAAAAGGCTGGAAGTGCACTGAGCATGAGGCAGTAGTGCATTACAGGGTGAGGGAACACTGTTGAAGCATGATTCAAAAGCTCAAAAAGGGGATTGGCATTATGTCTCCTTTAATTGCTGTAGAACAAATGCAGAGGACACATTTCTCTATATGTGGAATATAGAGTATACCTAAAACTTCAAAGGAGGAAATAAATTGATGTATTTAACAAAGATCAGCCAGTCAGGTTGTGTTACGCCATTATACCAAAGTACTGTGCTATTTATGGTGTAGCTCTGGTGTCATTAAATGTTCTTACTTCATGTGTATTTATTCAGGCTACAAATAAATACTTTGAAACTCAAACAGCATTGGTCAAGGACATAGTGAAAAGCGATAGAGTGTGTTCACCTGGACAGTGTTGTGCATCGATGATTAGTGCTTGTAACAGCGCAGTTGTCTCACCAACAAACAGTTCACGACATTTGTTTACTGTTTTTAAAATTTGTTTTATTTTTGTCTTTTAATGTTGTTTTGTGTCTGTACTTGTCCTGTGCACACTGGGAACTTTTACAAATGTATTCCAATGTAGTGTTACTGCAAATGGCGAAATAAATGAATCTGAATCTGAATCTGAAAGAATAGGGAACCATCTGTACTTCCGGCGAGGCTAAAATTTGTATCTAAATAACACAAAGTCTGGACTTTTTACAGATTCTTAAAGTGATTTGTTTAAATCATTATCAGCTTTAGTGTGTCTACTTATCATCCTGCCCTATATGTTTATAACTATATTCTACTTGTATATATACATATGGATATTGAAGCATTAACAGCTAGCTTAGAAACATAGTAGCTACTTATACTGTAGATTTTGTGTGCTCCCAGTGTGCTCTTACTATTGTCCTGTATGTGCGCTGCAACATTCAAATGTCCCCACTGTGAGACAAATAAAGGTTCTCTTAAGTTATTTCTCTTATCAGATTATCAGTCAAGCTGCATTTGAAGACACTTTGCTGGTAAAAGTATGGTAACTTGAGCACTATCCTCCTCTTCCTACATTATCATTATGACTCAGCTGTAGTCTGTTCATTGCTATTCACCAATGGCTCTATGTGTTTTTAGCTGTGCATTTTGAACTGTTGATTCTCTGATCCGTGTTGGCGAATTGAAGGCTTTGTAAAGTCATTTGAGATAACTATTGTTGTCATTTAGGACTAAACATAAATAAATTCAATTGAATTGAAAGAATTTATCTATTCATGAAAACCCTGTGATTCCAGCCCCGGACTCAACGGCTCATGGCCATCACTCCTTTAGAGCTTTACATCACAGAGCTTTACTTTTTATATTTATCAATAACATTCTAGGCGGGACTCAATCCCTGTGTATGTATATGATTAAGTCTTTGACATGTAACACAAATGAGAAGAAAAAAAATACACAAAAAATTATACTTGGAATTGACCTGAAAACTACAACAGATCCAGTCTCGTGCTCCAGGGCCATGTCCAGGGCTCGTTATAAATTAAGTATATGCTGCTCTCTGCTGGACATTTAAGAAACTGCAACCACAAACACAATCTGTTACAGCCATAGACTGCACATGTTACAGCAGCCATTTTCACACTGGAGACCCGAGTTTTTGGACTCGTGTTCAAATGCCGAGTTGACCCGTGTCCACAGTATGAACATAGTTTTTAGACTTGTGTAGAACATTGAAAGGTTAAGTAGGAGGCGCTCTACACAGGACCAGGGGAAATTGTATAATGGACAACTTTTAAATACAATGTACCCGTGCTCACTTGTCAGAGTCAGCAGATGCAGAGATACATATATATATAAATACAATTCAATCCAATTTAATTTATTTTGTATTCACCAACAACAGATCAGAGAATCCAACATTTAGAACACAAGAAATGCAGTAATAACAAACACAAAAGAGCCAATGGTCCATGGGACAAGGCCAAATAGTTATGCTAGCAATGTGAATATATTACGTTTTAATTTTTTGATGGTCATTCTAAAAGGGCACACACAATACTTATGTCATAAAATGAGGATAAATATTTTGTGGTGCTATGTTTACACTAAACAAAAGATGAGTTGAAAGCCAAGTCAAAATTACGTGGTAGCGCAATGGTTTTGGTCATGAAAACCCAAAATTGTTGATGGACTATTTTATTTTGTCTGTTTTATCACCTTTGATCATGTTGAATTCAATGCTCCTGTCGAGAGTGATATAATACTGAAGCAGAGCAGCTCCTATGGTCTGCAATTGCAACGTAACTTATGGAAAATCACACATTTCACAGTTACTCTCCGAATGTGACTGTGGTGTGAAATGTCACAAGTGATACATGCTCTTTACTGAAGCCACACGAGGAAGAGAGATAAAGAAACAAAAACAACATCAGGAAATGTGAATGATTGTAATTAGGGAAGAGACAATGTGCTCTTCCCCACCACATACAAAATCAAGACTAATCTTATAGAAATGTATTAAATATGTCTAATCAGATGTAGTAAATACAGGAGCCAAAATATACCAATAATGTAGAATGAATTAATATAACAGTTACTTTTCTCAGTAGGGGCATAAACAGTATTGTCTGAGTATTACCTTATAGTGTATTGTTTTGCCTTATATCTTATCTAATGTGCGATTGTATGTCTTTGTGAAGCACTTCAGGCTGTAGTGCATTGTGCTTTACAAATAAACTTGATTCATCGATGAGTAAAGAAAATTAACAAGACATTCTGATGCTGATGAACTATGTGACTTAATTATGAAATAAAAAAGCAACTATGATACCCAAGTTGTTTGGGTTCCTCAAGGAGATAATGACGTATGCTTTTACTCACTATTTGGTTTGTCCATGAGGTGGCGCTGTTCATCCATAAATCTATGAAACAAAGAAGGGACTTGAGGCGCATGACATAATGCTGTGTAATTGAAGAATTGCACTTGTAACTGATTAGAATAAAAGCAACCTTTAATCAAAACAACAGTGTGTTTTGAGTTGCACACTATGAACTGTTGACCCTCACCGTGCAGTGTGTGGGCCTCAGGTGGTCGTTTTTAGGTCATCTCTTTCAGGTGGCTGCACGCTCATGTGTTGCACATTTGTGAGTTTATGTAGTGTTTAAAAGTCTTTACTCCAAAATTGTACAACTGAAAGAACATTCCTGCAGTTTTTCTTCATTGTCTTCATATCAAAATACAGTCTGTGCCTGTCCCAGAGGATGGAGGTGGTATTTTTGCCCAGAGCTTGCAGCAGACCCCCAGCCGAGGCACAGCAGATGTCTCTGTCCAATATGACACAAGGTTCTGTCCAGAGCTGGAACTAAAGAAAACAATGGTCAGTCCAAAAGTAAATACTTATGGTTGGACTGACTATTTACTTTAAATACAGTTTGGTCACACACATATAAGTTGGACACCATTTAGTCATTAGGCATCGTGAGACCTATGGAGATTTTAGTTAATTCTATTTTATGGCGGATGAGGGTGATTCAATCAGTCTTTAGATTTCTCTCTGAAGAGAAAAGTAAACAGGCGGGGACTCTATGGTTGGGATGCAGTTGTTTACATAAAGGCTAATGCTGTCTTCTCTGACATCCATGTATTTGTCATAAGGTCCCAGTCCTAGCAGGATGTCCCTGCTCCGCACGTGCACAAAACCGGATTGTTCCGGATTGGAACTTTAGTTGGTTAATTATATAATGGTTCCCACTACAACCAGTACAGTGGAGCATCCCACAAACCCACCGAACGGTGGCGCTTCAGCTCAGAAGAACTTTAAACATGATGTTGTGGAGGCTACAGTTTGTCCCACGCGGCCTCACGAAATGTGAACTTTATCAATACAAACCCTTGTGGCCGTCGTTCCCTGGCTTAAATAATCAGATGGACACTTGGTCGCAAACAACAGGGTCAAGCACAATCGCACGCGGATGTACCCCAAATAATGGGCGGGGTTTGTCTTTATTATCCAATCAGCAATAGGGGTTAGGTTTCACTCGCCCGCGCACGCACCAATCACATGCGCACAGCACCAGGTCGTCGTCTTATAAATGTGGCCGTGAGAGCAGCAGAGTACTGGAGAATGGTAGAGGCACTAGTGAGACATCACAACACAAGACATTGGACACGGCAGTCCTCTAGTTTTTATTTCTATTTCTTCGTCCATCCAGGTAATGTTATTATGGTTTTTTCTCCCCTCAGCTGTCTATTATTACTCTACTTTGATGTGGATATTGTTTTCCTTTATTATTTTTTTTACTTTGTATTATTATTATTACTTGTTGCTGGTGCCTGTAGCTCAGTCTCGACACTAATACTGGTGATTCTCCTTTGTGTTTTGTTTACCTGATGCATGCTTTTTGCTATAGTTTTCAATAGGATGATGTAATGTTTCAATATCGCTAGTTTCCATGACTACAGGCTCATCAGTAAAGGGATGCGTACAACGTGTTCCCGACTTCATAAAGCTGCACATGTTTTTCAGTTTACATGGGTTTTTTACACTTTTGGTAAACAAGCACTACATGGACATGCGCAGTAATGAGTCGACGCGTCTTTTTAATGTTATAGAAATATGTATGTCGCCTGTTATGTACATCATGTTTTCGAGAAGGTAAAATGGTGAAAAGCGCAAACAATGGGGATGTTGAGCCCAGCCCCCCAAAGTAAAATTACGCAACATGTGTCCAGCATGGTCTCTCACTCAAATGTCTCGTCTTTCTCTCCCAGGTGTGTTATAGCAGTGGTGAAGATGGCCACGTCCTGCAGCGCCGATTTGAGCAAAACTGTGAAGCAGCAGTATATGGAGCTGCCACAGGGGGGTATGGTGCAGGCGATGTACATATGGATTGACGGCACTGGAGAGGGGCTCCGTTGCAAGACCCGAACCCTAGACTTTGAGCCCAAAAGCATTGAAGGTATTACTACATTTGCCAATAGAAATAGTGTTTGCATTTTTCTTTGCTCCTGCTACAATAAATGTTTTCACTTTAGATCTCCCAGAATGGAACTTCGATGGCTCCAGCACATATCAAGCAGAGGGATCCAATAGTGACATGTACCTGATCCCTGCCGCCATGTTCCGTGACCCATTCCGTAAAGATCCCAACAAACTGGTCCTGTGTGAAGTGATAAAGTACAACCGAAAGCCTGCAGGTAGTCCTCCTTTGTAATAGCTTGCATTAAGTTTATAATTTGAGTTATGCAACATATGAAATGATGTGGCTTATGGTGAGGTGTGGTTTATATAACCAAAGCTCCAATAACAGAAACCTGTTTGCTTTGTAGAAACAAACTTGAGGATTACCTGTAAAAAGATCATGGATATGGTGTCTGATCAAGTCCCATGGTTTGGCATGGAGCAGGAGTACACCATTTTGGGGACTGATGGACACCCATTTGGTTGGCCATCTAATGGATTCCCTGGACCACAAGGTAAGCTGCCACGTTACAGCTGTAATCATGACATAAATTGTCAGGTTGAATGAGTGACTCACTGGTGAATTCGTAGGTCCATACTACTGTGGAGTGGGAGCAGACAAGGCCTATGGCAGAGACATTGTGGAAGCCCACTACAGGGCGTGTCTCTATGCTGGTGTGCAGATCTGTGGCACTAATGCAGAAGTGATGCCTGCTCAGGTAAGTTCACCTTCAATCTTTAAACTCCCATGTATTTGATATAGATTAAGTGAGATTAATCTGATGGGCTGCATCTCTGTTCAGTGGGAGTTCCAAGTGGGGCCTTGTGAAGGAATAAACATGGGTGACCATCTCTGGGCTGCCCGCTTTATTCTGCACCGTGTATGTGAAGACTTTGGGGTTGTGGCTTCATTTGACCCCAAACCCATCCCTGGAAACTGGAACGGTGCTGGATGCCATACTAACTTCAGCACCAAGGAGATGAGGGAAGAGGGTGGCCTGAAGTGAGTTCCCTTAGCTCAATGTCTGTCTCCTTGATATTGATCTGATTTCTAACAAGCATTTCTTTTGCAGAGCCATTGAGGAGTCAATTGAGCGACTTGGCAAGAGGCACAGCTACCACATCCGTGCCTACGACCCAAAAGGTGGGCTCGACAATGCCCGCCGCCTCACTGGCCACCACGAGACCTCCAACATTCATGAATTCTCCGCCGGGGTAGCCAACCGCGGTGCCAGCATTCGTATCCCCCGCAATGTAGGTCAGGAGAAAAAGGGCTACTTTGAAGACCGCCGTCCTTCTGCTAACTGTGACCCGTACGGAGTCACAGAAGCCCTGATCCGCACTTGCTTGTTGGGTGAAGAGGGGGACGAGCCCACGGATTACTAAACTCTTGGACTGACCCCTACTGCCCTCTAAGATAGTACTGTATTGCTCCCACTGAAATCCTCTTAACCTGCATTTTAATGGCTAAAGTTGGCTGGTCAACTTAAAACGTGTCAATGTAGTCACATCGTTGTTAGCTGTGAGCTGGTAATGGCAGGGTATGTCTCTCCCAATGTCTTTAAATGGGATTGACTTTTGTAACAAGATTTTAGCCTTTTTTGTTTTCCCTTAGTTTTGACTAAAATGAACTAAAAGCACATGGACACTGAAGTAGAGCTGCTATGACTGGACAGCATGTGTAACAAAATAAACATTAGTCTATGTACTGTTCGTCAACCTGCCTTTGAATGATCCAGTCATCAATGTTACTAATTGATTTTTATGAAGTGTCTATTTTTAAATGGCTGTTTGTCTTCAGACTTTGGCACACGGAGTCAAACTTGTGTATGGTAATCTTTGTAGATGTCCGTACCCAGATGTATGTCATTCAAGATGTGTTGAATCTGTCCATAATGCCATTTGTAGAGTTCCTCAAGGAGTTTTATCCTTTTGTTAACTGATATTGTAACGCACCCAGTTTGGTAAAAGGCTTAATTTTACTGAATGGTGTTTTCTATGACATTTAAAACTTTTATTTTATCACAAGCTGCTGCCTCTGACTCTTTCTTGTGCTGTAGACGTCATCAAGTTGTAACAATTAAGCCTTAAGTCACTACTTGTTCTGGATATGTCTGAGAAATTCACTATAAAATGCTACGTTACAGTTTTGCTTCAGAGTGGCATTCTGTTTTTAGTTGACAGCGCTACAGTCTCTTCACGTGAACAAAAGTCTGCATTTGTGCTGACCGGGGGAAGGGCATCAAGTTTGTGCGGGACCTTTTACCTACTTTCTAACTGCTTCTCAACAGGCGCTGAGTCAGTGATTCTGATTGGCTTTCATTGTGGCCAATCATACAGAAAAAGGGGCAGGTTTAGTCTTGTTTATTCCAGTCTCTTAACATTTTTGACAAAGGGTTTTCAACTCTGAGGCTATTGGGATTTAGATTATGCTCTGACCAAACCTTTTGTATGTGCTTATATGATCTAGACTCAGTCATTGCAGTGCCCTACTTCCATGCCTCTTTTCACAAATGCTCTGTGATGACGGGGCACACCATATTGGACAACAGTCTGGGCAGGAAAGATTGCAATCTCCAGAGAAAATAGCAAATGTTCTCCATCATGGGTCTGTTTTCCTTTTACAACTGCAGCAAAATATCGAGTCAAACATATACCATAACAATATTTCAATGTTTTTGTGTTCAGGCCCTATGGATGTGCTAGTTTTGCTGCTACCCCTCACAAATCTTTTCTGGTTGTGTTGATTTTCTACCACATTCTCATTTCTGTCAAAGCCACTTGCCACAATGCAACTCTATTCTGTATTTGCTTTGACGGAAAGCTCAATTAGTGTCTTTTTCATTTGCATGCAGAAACTCTTCCTTTGCCTGGGAAGCGCAGAGGCAGACTGGACAAAGGATGGAGAGAGGGATGCTGGCCCTGTTGCCATGACGACCACCGGAATGCACAGGCTGGATCCTGAAAGGGGGGTTGCCACACATCCATGTTATGTAATAAGCAGAAGAAAAAAAACATAAAACAGGGTCTCACGCACAATTAGAGCCATACAATAGATGCCCCGGTCAAATGCAAGTTGTGCATTGAAAAAACATTCTTCTTCTGGCAAAAACCAACAAAGAAAACCATGAAATGTTTGCTCTTATTGTTGGGTGTTTTCATGTGTTCAAATGGGATGCAGTGTTGTCTCTTTTGCGTAGATACTTTGCAAATATACACATGTTTATTATCAGTACCCCAATGTAATAGATTGCGTTTCATTACGGTTGCATGCCTGGGATTGCTCTCCTCTCTCTCCTCGTGTTGTGTAACCCACCCACTAGTTTAAACCAGAATAGCCCCCATGCATTGTATAATGTGATGTTGTTGAGAATATCTGAACTATTCTAACCTAAAGGGACTTATGTAGGCCTAATGAAAATAGATAAACGTCAAAAGTGCAGAGCGAACACGGCATCTCCTTAACATGAGAACATCTACAAACGCACACTGGCACATGATGCAGCCAGTGCCAAATCACGCCAGATCTCGCCTGTTTTGTTCGTGCACGTTTTCACACATGTACTAGTTTGCACCCATCATATGCTGCAGGGTGCGTGCTGTGATTGGTCGAGGGCTGATGTCTGACTGCATCTCATTGGGCAGATGTGACGCTCCCCAGTGCCACTCAAATACCTGCGCAGTGATTGGTGGGGCTATTACATATGACACAGTGACACAGTTTCAGCTTCAGTGCAGACAGGGAGGACTGCAGCATGGATCCTTTGTCTCCATCTGTCTCCATGCATTTCAGAATGATAGTATATCAGGATTAACGCTGCCGTATGAAAACAGTATGAAAACAAAGTATTTAATATTTGGAATTTAAATGTCCTGAAGAAGTGGCAAAAATGTTACAAAATCCCATTTTTAGAACAAGCTGTACCAATGAGTAGTGATATTTTTTGACATTTAAGATGGTGAAATAGATGTTGAAACACTCCTTTAACAATTTAACAATACCCTCCAAGGTTTTTGGCAAGTTAGATAAGAAAAGAGAAGTTGGCCTATTTTCCAATTTCCCTATAGAACACAGTATGTCATGCAGTTTCATCATACATAACTTTCACATGAGTTTGTATAAAAATCATTTAAGTCATATGTATGTTGCATTGTACAGTATTTGGATGTTCAAATGGCCTCAGAATATATAAGAATTACCCTCCTTTTTGAAGAGGTCTGTTCTTTCCCTGCAGCTTTTGTGACTCCAAACAAAAAGGGTCTGAGCTTTACAACGAGGTACAGCATGACTATATTGGTGGAGGTGAAGTTGGCTGGATGACACTATGAACGTGCATCAAGTCAAGTCATGGCATGTATATTTTAGCAAGACATAGGGCCACATAAAATGCACAGATGGGCCTCGGGCTTGTGTAAAAGTTTGTTCTAGGTATTTTTTGGAAATAGCATAAACCAGGACATTACCTTATTCCATTTATCTTTTTATCATCATTTTATCTACCGTTTATCTTTTTATCACTTTTGAATGCGCAGGAAAACGGCCGCAAGTCCTAAGTAGCTCGGAAGCAGTTCTTGTATTGTGCCATTTTTATTTTTCCAGCTTTTTTCTACCTGAGATGTTGCTGCAGTACAGTGTTCATGGTTTTACACTGGTCCAGAGCAGAGCAGGGAGGATTCATGGTCTGAACCAATCGGATCAGGCGAAAATCTGCTGGAGGAATGCTAACTTTTTGAAAAATTCTTATGAAGCATTTAGCATTTTACTTTGGACTAGAGCAAAGAAAATTGTCCGAAAAGAGCCGATACTCCAACCCTGCTGCTGTGACCCGTCCTGCTCCACCCAGAGACTACACCACCTCTGCTGCTGTGACCCGTCCTGCTCCACCCAGAGACTACACCACCTCTGCTGCTGTGACCCGTCCTGCTCCACCCAGAGGCTACTCCACCTCTGCTGCTGTGACCTGAAGGCCTGTGGCTGATTATTGTTAGCTTTTTAGAATGATACATTTTATTTTTTATTTTTGCTGCTACTGGACACCTGAATTTCTCCGACGGGCATCAATAAAGTGTCTATCTATCTATCTATCTATCTATCTATCTATCTATCTATCTATCTATCTATCTATCTATCTATCTATCTATCATTATGTTGGCTGTGTAGTACAGTAGTTTGTTTGAGGTACACATGGAAATTGTGCATAAAACTTCACTCTTTGGCATACATACTTCCTTGCAGTCCACATAATCTTTAAGATAAATAACTGCTTCCTACAGCTCCTCATCTGTTCCTCACATGGTCCATAAAGCCTGTTTGCTTTAACAGTGAGTCTACAGAGGTCAGAGGTCGTCTGAAAACACACACCAGAGTCATGTTGAAGACCGAACATGACTCAGCACAAAGTCTGAAACTGTAAAAGCCACTGTACACTGTTCTTTCATTATGAGCTAAAAGATCACGTCTAGATTTCACTCAACTAATCCTCCACCACTCCCAGAACTATGATTGAAATATTCCAATGGCTATACCAGCAAAGCGCTTTCCTCTTTCTCCCTCTTAACATCACACCAGCGTGGGAGCGGACACTGCTATGCAAATACTATGATTGTGACGCAGTCTGAACAAAGCAGTGGCCACGTCATATGTTTGCCATTATAACAAGTTTGTGTTGATACCATTACCAAAGCAAATATTTGTTTTATTGCATTTCTGTGATTACTTCTATCTTCTGCCATAAAAATGCAATATAATCTAATGTGGATGATGACAATGCTTATCATGCAGCTGGGGAACAAAAATTACGTATTTTTATCTGATAGAAGTGATTTTTCTTTAGATCATGTTATAACAACATAGTTCATCAGTTTGTTTGCTTGATCCCCATTAGTAACTGAAATATACTCTTCCTGGAGTCTATATACTCATCAATGTCACAAGAATAAATGTGCAATGGACAAAAATGAATGTACAAACAAAAAATATGCTAGATACAAATATACAGAAATGTTATGTCAACTTCCGCCTCCGTCGAGCTTCCGCCTCCGTCGAGCTTCCGCCTCCGTCGAGCAAAGACGTGTCTCAGACGCTCCTGCTTCTGACTGCTTGCTATCTCCTGTTTTTGTCTTTTTCCTGGAGTTTTGCCACAGACAACTTTAACAAGAATGGAAATGATTAACTGGTCCCTCAACGCAATTGATTCTATCTTTTCAACACGTAAGCGTGGGTCTGGAGAGCCCGTGTGCCCGGACGGGACTTCACCAGCGGGGTATACTCTTGACAGCTGGAACAAGTATCAGCCCCTCTGTCTGTCGACCCTGTCCATTGAAGATTCGGAAGACGTATATATCTTTGGCATTTTGGTGGTGGGAATCCTCCTGTTTGGCTTTGGAGCTGTTCTCTTCTACCACAAATTCGGAGGCATGGCAGTTCGCAAGATTCACGACCTGCTGGCTGACAAAATTGATGGGATGTACAAGGAGCTTAGCCGCGTCGTGGTTGAGAGTGCTGTGTCTGGTCAACATTGTTTGTCAGGCTTGAACTCTCTGACCCGGCTTGGATCTGCCCCTGTGTACGGGGTCTGAGGGCGCCGCAATTCGGTTTAATTGGATTTAATAGAATATCTGCCTGACATTGCATTTAATATTGTCCCCCTGAGGCGATGTGTTTCTCCTGCTGTGTCTGTGTCTTCTCTCCACTCTTATCTCACATTCCTCGGGCCAAGGCCATAATAACAAAAGGTCCCATCTACAACAATCTCACACTTCAGTCTCCAGCTCGGATCCCGTCTCCCCCGCCTCCCTCTCTATCCATCTTGCTCCCTCCCTCCCCTCCACTCCTCACTGTGTTTCCGACTCACCCCCCTCCCTGACCCCGCCCCCCTCTGACAGCCACATTGGGCCGGCTGTAGGAGGTGCTTCATCCCGAGAAAAAATCCGTGCTTTACACAAGGCACAATGTGTCTATCCAACTGTCTGTGATACTGTATGTTATTGCTCTCTGCTGTTTATTCTACTGTTTGTCGCATGGCGCCGTAAAGATGGCGCCGTGGCAAGAGCTCTGGTGTGTGTCGTCTCCTCTGTCTGGTGCACACCGGGGTAGTCTTGCACAGTTTTTCCAATGTGGTTTTACTGCAAATGGCAAATAAATGAATCTGAATCTGAATCTGAAATATACAGTAACCACACATACACAGCAACATCTAGAGCAGCAGCAAAAGTAAAAATAATCTCAATTTAAACATTTCTACACAAAATGTTTCTATATAACATTTAATTATTCAGTTCATATCACAATGTTCACTCTTTTACATCCATCCATTGTGTCACTTTACATATTTGTGTCATGTTTGTGTCACCGTCGCCATCTCCATCTCTGCTCGGCCCAAAACATATTATAATTTGGAGAACACGTGTGACCATTATCCGCTTCCTGAGACCAAGACAATGGCAGCGGCTCGAGAGTAAAAACAGCTTTGTCTTGTGTTGCTGGCCTCATCCATGTGCTTCTAGTCCAGGCCAGTGTAAGACAGGAGAAGCTTACTGCTCTGTCCACCACTGGGGCCCTCTCCCTGATGACAAAAGCTCGGACAAAGGTGCTTATTTTTTAACCGACCTGTAACCCCGCACACAGACCACGCCCATACTGTAAAATGATGGTAGGATCTGTCATCATTAATTAAAATATTAGTCCAATTGTGTTGACATCTTGACAGAATGTGCCTCTAAACACTCCTTGAATTAAGCACTGGACATTTTATTTACAAAGTGCAAAGAAACACATTCTTACTTCTGACATGTTTAATTCCAAATGAAGACTTTGTGAACTATTGTGATCAGCAAAACATTTAATCTCACATGTGAAGTCAATATGTGTGAGAATTAAAATCTGAAAACATGTTGTGTAAATATTGTCAAAATCTCTTAATAATTATTTTTACTCTGAACATTGAACCCTATAAACAAATAACA